TCTCTCTCTCTCTCTCTCTCTCTCTCTCTGTCTATCTATCTATCTCTCTCTATCTCTCTCCCCTTTCCCTTCTCTCTATCTATCTCTCTTCTCTCTTTCTCTCGGGTCGATCGGGGCTACCCAGGAATGTCATTGAAAAAACCATTTTCTATTACCTCAATCCCGACTTTTTGATACTCGAGCTCTAAGGCTGGTGTCTGTGTGTTAGGAACTGTACCTCTCACACATAGTTGAGTTAAAGGCCGGTTGTCCCAACTTGATAAATTAACTGATAGTTAAATCATATGTCTGTTTTTGTCTAGATCAAAGGAAAAACAGAGATAGACTATATATGATTCAACTATCAGTTAACTTATTAAGAAGGTGGAATAATTGGCCCTTCACTAAGTCACGGTATTTAATACTATTGCTTAGTAGTCCAGCTGTTTAATACCAAGAAATTGTGCGTTTAACACTTGGTAGGAGACGAGGTAAAGGAAAGAGCCCAGAAATGCTCTGGAAAACACGATTGTGTAGAGATTTCCATTGTGCCGACATAGACATTGTCTGTCACTCACTCCGAAGTTGCGCCAACGTCGTCGGTTGCATTCAACAGAGGAGGCTGCTTTCTGCAACTGTTGTAAAATTCGTCAACTCGATTAGTGTGCACTAAGAAAAAAGTGCTCGAACACTCCTCTATGGGACGCGAAGTTTACTTTTGCGAAATAAAGTTCCTTTCTACGAATAAATTTTACGACTCGCGGGTAAATGTTTTTCCAGGTATCTTCTTTTCTCGGTGTATACTCTTAGGTCTATATTAATAGTCGTTACTTGATTCAGGCGAGCCATTCAAATTTTAATTTAGAGTTAGACCTGAGTTTCTCAGCTGAATTGCGACTGCAAATGTATTATGTATATAATTCAAATGAAAAAAACTCACATTTAACTCTAAATTCAGATTTGAGAATTTCATATAGGACAAACTTCAACCGTTGATACGAGCTTTTGACTCTCAGCCGAGATCAAGAGCACACGCTGGTCAGATTGACGAGTTTTACAACAGTCGCGAAGCGGCTTTCTCTGCTGAACGCAGCCATTGTTTCGCGAATGGCAGATCACGCGATCGCGATTTCGGCAAATTCATGCGATGCGTTATCTGCTGTCTTTCCATTCTCAGGAGAAAAGTTACGTATTCGATGTTTCTTTTTTTTATCATAGCTAAGAGATAAGTGTGTTTGCGCGGCTCTCTCGATACGTATCTTGCCGTATACGCGCTGTCGAATTCACGTTTTTGTCATGATGATCGTTGATTTTGTTGGAATGTTTGAAACGTACTATTTGGAATAATTACGGAGACCTCGGTAAGGTAAAAATACCAATGCCTGGACACGTGCTTAATTCTTTTTTTTATTTTTAAATACAAATATTTAAATTGTCAACATAAAATGTATGTATAAATATTGAGTATGTAAATATATCCCACGGTGAAACTTTAAGTATTCGTATTTAAAGACCAAAAGAATAAGAATGTTCAGGATTAGGTATGTGTCCGGGAATTGGTATTTTTATCTTACTGTTTGCGCAGTGCCGATAAGCCAAACTTGAAATTGCACCCGCGATGGAAAAAAAAAAGAAGTTCGAGATCGGTTTGACCGACTCGAAGAGAGCGCTTCAGAGAGTTAATTACGTCCATATTTGTTGACTCGTGATATTTACTTTGCATACCCTCGCCCCGATATATCACGTGAAATATTTATCAGCTCCGGGCCACTTGTTTATTCCCTCGCCTCGTCCGCAGGGAGGCAATGGACAGGATAATACACGTTTCCTTTGGCATTTCCCCGCTTAGTTGCGTTGTCATCGGGATTCCCGAGAATCGTCGGCTTCGTATCCCCAAATGTCCTCCCTTTCGCCGTTGCGTCCATTTAACACCATCGGGAGACTCTGATAGCAACTTAGAAATTATGATTCGCTAGTAACATCCTTGCGCAGCTTTTGTCGAATAATTCCTAATCAATTTTAAAATTAATTCTTAACGGTCGAGTACCTGAAAACCTTAATACTATTTACGGGTATTGCTTCGTTCATTTTGATAAACGAAATAGGATAATAGTTTTGTTCCGGCAAACTGTCTCGGCTGTCTCAGCATATTCCACCAACGTAGTTCGCGTAGCGTCTTCGTGTGGCTCGCAGCCTTAAGATCTCGTGGAGATTATCGATCGTGAAAGTGTTAACGAGGCAATGATTAAACAGATAACGCTAACGAGGAATCGCAAAAATCTGTACACACACACAGAAGAGTACATACTGCATTCAATGAAATGTCACTTGTTTAAAGTATTCCAACTTACATATCCGCTGATCTGTCGCAAGTTTATCGTAAGCACCAAATTTGTTCCAGATACACACTGAATGTGTGCAAATTTAGTATTTTTGTATGTAATTTTTTTATTAAATATTTTTTATATTCGCGCTCAAATATATGTCGAGACTTTGCCGGCAACACGGACAGTTTAAAATGTTTATTGCAGCTCAGTTTATTCTATTCAATTCGTTATTGATTACATTAATCATATTTATTCATGCGTTGCGATTAATTACATTCACGTCGTAATTAATCGTGAATTGCATATTTTATACTGCAACAGAGATAGAGAGAGAGAGAGAGAGAGAAGACTAAAAAATATAGTAGAGAGAATAGACTAGAGTTCATTTTATAGTCTTGAATAAATAATGCAATTCGCACTTGAGCAAATACTTAATTTACAAATAAGCAAGTGCCTAACTTATAAGTAATTAGTAAGAATTTCTTACAAAACGCGAATCATAAACCATGGAAACATAAGATGTGGTTAGGGTGAAAATTGAACGATAAAATTAAATGATATAATGGTGATATATACGCACACTGAGAAAAAAATTTACTAAATTTTAAAAAACGTTTGTTTGGATAATACTGTGAAGATATTTGTTTAAATTAAATAATTATTTCCTAAAATTAAAGAAACAAATTTATATTTAAAATTTCTTTATTTAATTTTAGAAAATAATTACTTAATTTAAACAAATATTTTCACAGTATTATCCAAACGTTTTTTGAAATCTAGTAAATTTTTTCTCAATGCATAAAAAAAAATTACAACGAGAGACTATGAAAAGAAATTAAGATGAAAATAACGACACAACAGAGACCAGAAGTAGTATACTTTAGTATCAAGGCATAAGCATCTCAATTCCTTAAATTTGCTCCTTTATTTACAAATTGTGACGATACAGAGGATGACGCAATGTATTTAAAGACGAT